AGGGCTATAAGTATTAGGGCTAAAAGTTGTCATTCATACAATATAAACTTATGGCATTGATGTTTTGAATAATAGTAAATAGCGACCTCTCTGGTAGAGTATGAGGATTGTACCTTATACCTTGGCAGGGTAGACACAGGGCTCTGCGACCGGCAAATTTATTTTTTATTTAATTTTCTTATCCGTCTAACCGCGACCAAGTGTCTGACGAATCGTACTGCTTGTTTTCTCAAGAAAAATATATTCTGTGAAACGAGGATTGGAGCAGGGGTGCCCATCCACCCGAAGGTCGATGACGCATAAATTTTCCCCTTCCCGTTCTACAAAATTTTATTGCTGTCCTTTTCTCAAAAACAGTGTAAGTGAAAGGAGAATTAGAAGAAACGTAGATCATATCCTTTTATACTTGTTGTGGTCTCGTCCACCTTCTTTTCCTCTGGTTAAAACTTTTCATTCATAAAATTCAACCCCGATGAAATGTGCCCCCTCCTCAAAAATTTACAAAAATTTAATGGCACAACTTGCACCATGAAACTCCCTTCTGGAAACCTCTGGATTGGAGTTAAGTTCGTTCAGCACAGCACACAATCTAGTCACTGGGTATCTAGGTAGCTACCCTCCCCTCAGTTTACTTAAATTAAATTTACTTTTAAGGACAACTATCAATTTAATTTAGATGATTGATTAATTAATGGAACGTAATATTAATAAAGAACTAATGTAATATTTTAGTATTTTCCGTTTTTGATCTGTGAGATATGTCCCTATGGACATTGCAAGCTAATGCGTATTGATTTGAGAAAATATACGTTAAAAAAAAGAAGAAAAGGCGCCAAAGAGGACCTTGGCAATAAACCTTGAACTAAACCAGGGTCTATGTTGGCATTCGAATCATTTGCGGTTACTTGTAGATACAGCTGAATCACTGCCGGTTTCGGATATAAGCCATTTGACCGCAGGTAGTGATTCAATTATGGAAAAACATAATATTGTTAATGATCGTTAACATTTTTGTGTATCGCCCGAAGAGAAAGCTATTATGACCTTCCGGACCACACCCGGCCGGAAAGACGGTCAAGGAGGTTGTCCGGAAACTTCTGGATCCCCTTGGAAACCGTCATCAATTTTGTCGCACGTCTTGCCGTGCCCTAGGTACCATCGATAAATCGAAGTATTGAAATGGAATCGAGCCACCTAATTCAACAAATCAAATGACCATTTATTTTTTCTTAAATTCTTTAGAAAATGCAATGTACAACCTTCAAGAGAAACCTGTAGTTTCCCTTGAGACTTGACTTCCTTATGAATAACATTGTGACTAATTACATTCCTTTCAAGTACATGTTATTTTCTACTTCCCTAAAGAATTTGACAAGGTATTTGGTCGATAAAGTCCTATTGCATCATTCTAAAATATTTCACTCTACCTAGGAATTTGAATTAAGAATGATGAATGATTTAACAATGATAAGCTCTGCACCTACTGACTGGTCCCGGACTATAGGACATTAGAAACATAGCCAGGACTGAAGCCGAAGTTTACTAGACTGCTGGACATCGCATAGCCAAAAGAGCTCAATACGATAATGACATAGGATAAAAAAAAAAAAAAAAAATAATAATAATAATGGTTTTCAATTGTATTAGGGAGCGGGGTGGCTCAGTGGATGAGCACTGACTCCCAGAGTTCAAGGTCCCAGATTCGAATTCGGCTGATGACTAGTCATTTTTTATCAGCCGTGGATCGACCCTGGAGTCGGGAAAACCTCCTGGGGCACACCCAGCCTCTATAAAGTGGTTACTATTAATTATATAATTAATTAAGGGGGAAAATCTGGCGGTTGAGTGTGATCTCGGCCCAATCATCTCCCTGCACAACCGTTGGCCTTGCAACAGTACTTCCTCATATACTACTAAACCCAAGACCCTTCATGGGTTGAGTGCTACAGGTTCCCAATAAATATGCTAACATTATTCACCCCTCAGAACTCCCATTGGGCAGAAAATTACTAGAAACAGAAGTCTTAGAGTCATAATAAAAATATTAGACTATTCTATTCAAGTAATTTTTTGGTTTATTATTTTCAATAATCAACCATTGTTATCGACCAAAAAATTCAAAAACTTAACCCCCTCTCAAAATTTGAGGTTTCACGTTTCAGAATGCGTAGAATTCGAAAAACGAATAAAAAATTTTTTGTCCGTCCGCCGTCCGCCCATTTTCTCAGAAACTACTTGACCGATTATTTTCAAATTTGGATATAAAATCAGAGGTCACCCAACGATGATCCTCCTTCATCGACATTAACATCCGCCTTTTACTTTCAAAATGGCGACCGAAAAACCTACGTTCCTATAGACTGTAGCTCCTAAATGCACCGATTTCAATGAAACTTCGCTTAAGTCATTTTCTTGACGCCCTTTAAATTTATCTATATAACATACTTCAACGAAAAGAAGCTCAAAAATAAGTTACGGGGGATGGCAAACTTAAATTCCGAATAACTCAAGAAGTATGCACATATTGTATATGGTTTTATAAAGTTTACGAAATGTCCTAAAAAACAAAAAAAAAATCGTTAAAATCGGACAATTAGAGGCAAAGATATGGTCTCCGGTTTTTTTTAATATGTTCTACTCCAAATGTTACATCCTTTGTTTGGTTTTTAAATTTTTAATATGTTACTGATGTAATGCTATTTTTTTTTAGCGGTTTACCAATGATATAAAATTTACCAATTAAAAAAAAAAGTTTAGTCCAATAATTGGAATCACCTATTTATTTACTTTTCTTTGTAACTATGAAGGTAATGTTACTTTAAATGAATAATTGTCTGGAAATAATAAACCATTGTGGAATAATTTGCAGCGTTTTTTTTTTTAATTGTTTGACATCATTTGATAAAACGTTTATCTTATTCTGGAGCATACCTAGCTCCAAGACGAGTTTATTATTTGATTAGAAGGAGATTAGCTTAAACCTAAAATAAACTTGGATCAAATATCGCAAGTTATTCTTCTTAATTGTGATTCCGTTTAGAACCATACTATTGAAGCGGTCATGAATGACTAATATTATAAATGAGCTATCATAGTATATTTCTATTCCTTTGGTAGTATATTTCAGACGATGACGGCCTGATTTTTTTTTTTTTTTATACTGTCAATGGAATCTTTATTATATATTATAACTTTATTATGATATCTGAAATAATATCACCAAGTTATCAAAGCATTACAATATATCCGAGGTTTAAACAATTACTGGTAATTAATTCGGCATTATGGCCTCCGAAGTGTTCCCAATAGCCGAAATTAGGCTGGGGTCGAAAAATTACTTGATGAGGGTATTTAGCTGTTCCGGGTAATCGAGGCAAACTAGTTTGTGTCACAACAATCCTCTGACACTGAATGGAAAACTTTTTGTCAAGCCCTTTGAGATCATTGCTATATATGTAATGGAATGACTAACTAATAGTCAGAACCAATTTTTTTTCTTTTAAGATTTTTTCATTGCTTCGTTAAATAGCAATGTAATGATATTTATACATTTAATATTTAATTATCTTTAAATTCAATTACACTTTACATCTTTGTAGCAAACAAAATTACTATTGCTCCATAGACTACAAACCAAGTATTACTATTATTATTTTCTTAATTTATATTGTTTATGTTTCGATAGTAATGACCGAAACTAGTACCTCTTTATATGTTATTATGTAAATGTTATAAGGACCATACATATACCCTAGGCTTTTTTATTTTTTGCCCATATTCTCATTTTGTCTTCTATTCCTCTCGTTCGTTCTGCTATCCAATTATTACCTGCTTTTCTTTTCACGATGTTTTCCTTATCTTGGCAGTATTTCTTTTCGATATCCATTTTTTTCTACTTTTATTCGTTTCGTTTCAAATATTCTTTTATTTTCTTCAGTCCCATCACTTTTTCGAATATCAGCTTGTCCCACCCACTCTGATTCATTGTCTTCATATGCCCAAAGAATTGTAGTCTTCTTTTCCTCCTCGGTGGTTCTAAGTTTTCAATATACTGTTTTTTCTGCCATTTCATTTCCCAATATGCCTATAGTCCACGGCACCCATTGGAAAATGTAATTGTTGCAGGCGTTGTGTATGAGTGATATGATTTAAAAAGAAATATGTGTTAGTGCTTTATTTTGAGGGTTTACTTTTAGGTGTCTGAGTCTGTAGCGCTGCGTGCAGATAAATCGAAAGGCATAACCCAAGACAGGCAGAGATGAAGCAGGCTTGTTAAGGCGGCAAAAGATCTACATGGTTTGTAATGCCAACAGAAAAAAAAAAAAATAAAATATATATATATATATATATATATAATATATATATATATATATATATATATATATATATATATATATATATATATATATATATATATATATATATATATATATTAGTTATTTTATATCCATTAGATTAGTGAACTTTTAATATATTTTTCATTTATTTATTTAGTTTAATCTTCTCTAATAAGCAAATTTACAACATTATTATATACTATTGTACAATATATACTTTAGTAAAAAGTAGTTTTCTTCAAAAATTCATTTGAAATGACATCAGATTATCAGGAAAGTGTTACTAATTATTGCCTAAATTTTGAATTTTTTCTAAATATTTTTATTCGTATTATGAATAAATATTTAATAATGTTCAAATAAAGCAGGCATAAACACCACATTGTTTAACCATACTGTAAATGATATACACTCATTCCACTATTATAAAACACGAAAATAAATTAAAGAGCACAAAATAATGAGCATCGAAATTGTTTATATTTTATACAGTTCACGAATACGTATAAATTACATTAAAACATTTTTCTAACAGATGAAAGAAAACTGTGTAACACTTTAATTTAAATAATTTAAATTCCGAAAACAAATATTGTTATTGATTCAATAATAATAATATCATTGTAGTTCAGACGGCATGGGTACTTCAGCCAGTTTCATGTTGTTACAATATTTTTTTTGTAGCCATAACTAATCTAGATGTCATGGGAGTTAACGACCCCGATCCTGCAGCATTGATGATCCTTTCATAAATACAAACTATTTAATTAAATCTTCTTTAAAAATATGTAAATTGTTTACATAGCTAATCATATTCAATTATACATATAGCTTTCCATAAAATAAAATTAAGTCGAATAAATTATTGTTAATTGTCTAATACAATATGTCATAAATAACACATGTATTACTTAACTTATCATTGTAAATGAATATATAATTAATATTAGGCTTGCTGATAATAATAACATAAGATCCATTTAATAAAATATAACTTTTTTTACATAAATCATGTTATTCGTTGCTTGTCATTCTATCATACTAAAACTAATGTTGCCTATAAATATTGTGGCTAATAATAATGTACCAGTATTTTTTAGGTAATTGTCAGTACTTCTGACAGGTCTGGGTGAAGAAATGGAGTTGAAAAAAATAATAATAATAATTAAACAACAATTTTACACGACATCATTACACATAACACTCAAATATTTATTTATTTGGTTATATTTTAGGTGCCGTGTGCAACTTTATAGGTTAGAGGCACCATCTTGATTGTTGATTTACATTTCAATATGTCTTATGTATGTAAAATTTTGGATGTGTATGTTGTTAGTATTTTTGTTTAAGGAACGTGTTGTTACAACTGAATAGGTTATTTCTAATTTACGTTGTGAATTCGTTTATGAGGATGATATTGTTTAAATATGTCTGTAGTAATTGTGTTTTTTCAAAAATTGGAATAAGTGTTTCTGATTTCCAGATTGTATGGCTTGTCGATATCCTAACAGCAGATATGAGGTCCTTGATGAATCTAAGCTCGGACAATTTTCCAAGATGTGAAACATTGTTAAAGCTGTATCGCAGCTGGAACATCTTGGTGGCGAACTTCCGTCGAGTAGATGACCATGCGTGAGCCTGGTGTGCCCTATTCTGAGGCGTGTGATGATAGTCTGCTCCCGTCGGTTTCCTTGAATCTCTGGAAGTGGATTCATGTCATGAAACATTCTTTTCATTTTGTTTGTGATAGGAACCTTTGCCCAACAATATCGCCAGGCCTCTCTACACTGGTTCAAAATTGCGTTACTGTAATCGTATAGCGCTATTTTATTGTCTGGTGCTGGAAATATGGAAGTATGGAACACTCAAATAAAAAATAATGATTATTTCGAAATAGCAATAATTTTAATTCTGAAAGACAATTTTTCTTTGTTAAACCACAGAGTTTTTGACTACTCGTAATTAATTATGAAATAATGTTATAAGAAAATATGCCATACGAGAGCAACCAATTATATGCATTTTTGGGGTTTGTATACATTCCCTTAAGATAAAATCCAATCGAGATTTCATAAATGCTTGAATATTAGGCTCATTTTTTAGATTAAAGAAATAATCCTTAAGCAACTAAATTTTTAATTTAGAAAAATACAAAATATTTTACTCTTACAGGCTAATTTAATTTATAAAATGTAGGGAAAACTTCAAGATATAAATCATGAAAATCAAATTCTAAAGATCTTAAATTTACCTCTGTACTATCACTTATCGAAGTATAAGTAAAGTATTGGATTGGTGAAGAAGTTCTAATCTGACAGAAATACATGTTTCAGATGTCCAATATTTAAGGTCGTTGATGGTAATGTGGAGTGACGAAAAGCTCATGACTTTTGGCTGGAGTCATAACACACACTCAAAACAATCTATAATTCGCTCTAGATCTCTGATCATATGTTACAAAATTCCTAATTCTTTATCGTAGTAAATATAAATTCATTATCACCATATATGCTAAAACTTCATTACAACTACATTAAGCATAAAATTCTTGATTTAATCGTTACATCAAGAAAAACATTTTCATTTCAGTGGTTACCAGGAAATGTGAGTTTACACGGAAATGAAAGTGCAGATCGAATTGCTCGATATACTACCAGAGAAATAAAAATTAATTTTTCCTTTTCTAAGTGAAACAATTGTCAATGAATGGCAGAATTGTAATGACCGGGAGTCTCAAGCTAATGTTTAGACCACTATTTTAATCCATCCAAAAATTTCATTAAACCCGTGGTTCGACTCTGTTGGAATATGTTTAGAAATAAGTTATCTGACAAACTTTATTAGGTTGAGGACCAATCATGACAATACAAACTCTTAAACTTGATCAAAATAAAGGCGACATCAATTTGTTCAATAGTAATTTGACGAAGACAAAAATCCACTTCATTTAGCGATATCCTGCAAGCGTTGTAGCAAAGAGAGGAGCAAATATTTTGAGGTGTTTGATCTCAATATTCCTAAAACAATAAAAGAGTAAAAACGAGAAAAAAACAATCTACTGAAAAGATTCGTTAGAAATACAAAATTACGGCTTTGATGCGTGATAAAACGTAAACTGACAAAATAGGATTTTGTTTAAAGTCTTAATTATAGCCTTCCTCCCCCCAAAAAGCTAATGACGTATGTTAGCTACTACAGCATTACTTTTAAAGGGCACTCAATGTTCTTAAAAAGTAGACGGAGGAGGTAGTACCGGACTGGGGACATACATCAATTAATTCAAAAATTTAAGAGAGATGGTGACGAGGAATATATATATATATATATATAGTAATCTGTGACAATTGGTGTACTACAAATAGTGGTTCATGAAATTATGTATTGAAATACATTATATTACATAAAAAAAGTTTTGATGACTTGCAAATGAGCTAATCAGCTCGAAAAGTCGTCGGAAGTAAAATAAAAGAATAAGTTGAAAGTATAAGGCCTTATATATTCCTTGAAGACACCATATATAAAAAGGTAATGACTTTTAATTGTTGTAGTTAATAATGCCTACTAATATATTACTGAATGGGAAGTAAAGGTTAGCACAGAAATTAAATTGATTCTCTATAGATATAATGGAAAAAAGACTGCGTCCTGAATATTTATCACCCATAAGATGAAGAACAGTCGACTAACTTCGTTCAATAACTCTATATATAGACTATATATATATGACTATATATTGTATATATATTATTTTAATCTTATTTTATTGAGAAAAAGTACATCTTGCCTCAATCAAGGGCTTTGAGTATTTGTGATGTGAGAAACTCATTCATACAATATATAGAATTACAAAAATAATAGAAATTATAACAAAAAGAAAAAAAAGAAAGCTTAGTAAAACAGATGAAATAAAATATGATACAACACAAATTAAAAAAAAACAAAAACAAACATTCATGCTTATTTACAATATTTACAGTCAGCCGAGGGAGCTCTAAGTCAGACCTTTTCCCCCACGTGTGGAAGATAAGGCAGGATTCTAAGAGATCCCAGCGCTTCTCTTTTAGCCGCATCGCTGATATATGTAGAAAAAAGATTTTTGTTTTCTGTTTGATATAAAAAAACACAGTGCATAGAATCATCATAAATGATGTTAATTGTCTTAACTTTGTATTTATGATATGGTAAAATTTATAATTAAAGTAATATTCTTCAGCTTTATTCACATTTTCAAAAATTAATTTCAACAGAAAGTGGCAAGTATGTGAAAGTATGATGCATCTCACCAGATTTTTATCTTAAGGATAATTTTATTTTTATGGACAAGCCACCGAAATAACAGTATTATTTTTCTTACCTCAACACTCAGTGTCATTTTCCGAATAATATATAGTGAAAACATCTGGACGTTAACCTCTGAGAGATAAGACGTCATGAAAAAAATATATAAAAATGTGATGGATAGGTTTGACATTTGACTAAGAAAGGGAAAACTCCGTAGCCTTGGTGAGGGCGTTGTACTCTTAAGTCGCTGGCAGGCTCGCTATCCCCTCGGCTCACATAGGATTCGGTTCTCACAGGGTTTCGCTCTCGAGTGGCTCTAGAAAGTATCTTGTCGAACCCTCTGCAACTAATTTCGGGTGCACTCCTCGCTCTTTAGAGAAAACATCGGTTGGCAGCTCCACGGGATTACATGAGAAACGGCTTATGGGACGGTAGACTGGCAATCCTTTCTAGTTCCAATGAGTTACATGTCAGGAAAAAGAAGTGAATTTCATAGTCTTTAGGTAATATTTATTATGTTGATGACGAAATTCCCGGACGGTAAGGTAAATTTCAAAATATAAAAATAGCGTTCGTAAACTTTATTTAAATAAAGAAGAAAAAAAAGTCGTCGAAATCCTTGATTGATGAAAAATAAGTAATTTATACGTATGGATATGAGACATGGACGTGATGATCGAACCCATATAGGAGGAAAGGTTCCAGAGAAATAGGTTCGGAACGTTGTGGGTTCGATTCAGACATGATTTATTTATTTCTCGGCGGAATGAATGTTCATACCCTCCCTCTGGTGGTAAAGTATATATAGCCGTCAGAGGTTCGTAAAAAGGAACACCAGGTCCAGTAACATGGATACGCTTTAACACTTCTTAATTTCTTTTATAATTTAAATCATTTCTGATGCGTACTTTTATAGTCTCGTGATTTTTGAACTAGAGATCACTGCAGATCAAAGGCTTACGGGCTGAAGTCCCTCCCCACACCGTAAAAATATAATTTTTGTTTCATCGGTACATTATCATAGTTTTTAATTATTATTTTACTTTTGTTAATTTTATATTTTCTGTATATGTGGTGTGAATGTGTTCCTATATCAATATAAGTACTTTCCACGTGACAGATTATGATATTTCTAAATAAATAAATAAAAACAAAAAATTGGTAGATTATACGTTTCTATGAGTGATCTGAGGTAAATGCTTAAACTATCAAAATATGCAATGTTTTAAAATAAAAAAACAAGTATTTGTACGTATTTATGTATTACTAAATGTAATTATCTTGTTGAGAAAAAAATACATATTTACTCCTAAAAGCACTATTTTAACTGTTTTATTTTCTTGACGCCTTCAAGGACATCTTAAACATTATTATACAGGTTCTTTCTTTTTCATTCAGAATAATACCGATAAAAAAGAGACTAAAATTACTCCTAGATATTATTAGAATACCCTAAAACAAATTAAATTAACCAAATAACAAGTATCAGGCAAACTAATAACTAGCCAAAGGTTAACCATTTCAGGCGTCACCAGGAAAAATTAAATCGCATAAATGCAAATTAGAGATAACACATATTACATTGACAGTCTGAAAAAGACTAACCAAACTGAGATATATTAGATAATTTTAAAATTATTTTAAAAACATTATATTTTATATAAGTTATTGATGAACAATTGAGTATGAAAAGTGACTAAATCAAACACATCATCCGTTGATTTTTTTAGTACTTCGTGTTCACATTCCATCTTCAATGTATCGATGAAACTTGGTTTGGAACCATGACTTGCAAGAGCTTTATTTCCAAATATTTAAAAAAAAATGCCATTTTCGAATACTAAAAACGAATTTAATTATTTATCTTATATACAAATATAATAAAATAGAATATTAATTAATTTCTTCTAATGCCTAAAGCAATGTTCTACGCTGATTAAATTAGGAACTCTTACCATCTATGAATGCATCAACCTGTAAATAGGTCAACATATAGCTGAAAAGTGACTTGTAAATGCAAATTTTCAATCTATCTAGAGCCCTTAGAACGTGATCATTATTTATAATATGGATATAACGTTAAGATTGATGGATTTGGGCACTACTTTTATTGCGAAAATTATCATACAAAGAAAAATGAAAGGTCTAGTTTAAACAGACGATTTGAAAAGGAGAGTTAAAAATTGAAAACAATTGAGAGAAAATAGTTTTACTACTAGTGAATATAAAGGAGTAAAAGTGAAATTAGCTACTACCTAGAGGTGACTCTCTACCCCGAAAGCTAACCACATTCTGGCTGTCACGCACAACTGTATTTGGATACTAATACACAGAGCAACATTCTACTAATTGGCCTATATGTATAAATATATATAATTATCATTACACACGGTAAGAGTATTGGAAATGATGTTATACATTATAATAAAATGAAAACAGTAATACTTAAAATGTAACCTTGTTTTGCATGAGATTGGCTCAGTTTTATTCTAAAAAGGGTATAACGATTCTTGTTAACATTAATTTATGAATAATATTAAGGCATGGTGACTAGTGTTGGCCAAAATTGGTCTTGGTCTTGCACTTTACGAGACCAAGACCAACGCCGCTTAACTGTTGCAAGACCAAGACCAGGACTGGTAAAAAAAATCAATTTTTTAAATAAAATTTTTTTTTTTTTTTTTGACTCTATATCTTCATCCGCACCTGTCATGGTAGTGACAATTAGCAGATTAACTGTTTAAATTGAAAATGACATGATAGGCATGACGAAGAATGGAGCCCAGCAGCACCTGGCCTGTTTATATCCTAAAATCAGAAAAGGAGATCTCTCATCCAGCTCCTTTTCAGTCGCCTCCTGATGAGCATTTCAGCCGTGGCCATGTCTTTGATAAGTCCATTGTGATGTCCGTGTAGTTTTAGATGAAATCGGGAGTAAAGAGTACGTATGTGCTGGTCAATGGTTGGTTGTCTTAGGTCGGTATGTAAAGTCTTGTTGTTGACGTACCAGGGAGCTGCAGTTATTAGTCTTAAAATTTTAGATTGAAAGGATTGTAGTTTTTGTAAGTGAGTCTTTTTTGCTGAACCGTAAATCTGTGAGGCGTATGTCCAAATGGGTTTGAGCAGGTAAGTGTATGTATTT